TCTTTTTTCCCTCTGGAGGAATTGGTTTGTGCCAGCTGTATGAATGAATCTGAAATAATGAAATTGGTGCTGGGTGCTGGTGGTGCATGCTTGTAATGAATAGTTCAAGCTAGTAAGGAGGCTGAGATCTCAGAATTGCAGATCAAAGCCAGCCCAGGCAGAAATGTCTGTGAGACTCACCTCCAATTAATCATTGAAAAGCTGAAAGTGGAGGTGTCACTCAAGTGGTAGAGTACAACAAGTGGCCTGAGCACAAAAGCCAAGTGAGAGTACATGACCTTGAGTTCCCAGGAGTTTCAGCTCCAACCTTTGGCATCTCATCAACATTTATTATTATTATTGTTAGTAGTAGTAGTAATACTACTACTACTACTACTATTATTATTACTATTATTTTTATTTTTAATGTACTGGTTCTGGGGCTTAAACTCAGGTCCTGGACACTTTTCCTTAGCTATTTGCTTAAGGCTAGCACTTAAGCCAGAGCTCTAGTTCCAGTTTTTGCTGGTTAAGTAAAGATATGAGGCTCATGAACTTTCATTCACAGGCTGGCTTGGAACCCCAATTCCCTTAGCCCCTAAGTATGTAAGATTACAGGTATGACCCACTGACACTCAACTAACATTTGTTATTATCTTATGAGAATGTTAATGCAAGACTTCCTCAACGTAAAAAAAAATCACTTCATTCCTAGTGTTTGCAAAATTTTCTCAGTTTCTTTTCTAGTGTGATTATAATGTGCCTTTGAATATCTTTTTGAGTTCATTCACCTGGTATTTGTTGTTTCTTGTCAGTCATTAGTTCAATTTTTTGTTATAGTTTGTGCCAATGTTCTCTCTATACTTTTCTCTTTGTTCTCCTAAGATACTGCCAATGCTATGTTGGTTAGGTTGTTGATGTTTACAGTTCCTCATTTCATTTTCTGCAATATATTTTTGATGATTTCTTTCACCCATATTCCAATTTGCTGATTTTATCATGTTCTGCCTTTGGATTTCTCTACTAGATGTAATTACCATTAATTACATCTTATTTCCAAAGTATCTTTTTGTTTGCTTTTATTTTTTTGCTTTATTATTAATATTTCCATTTTGTTCATATCTTAGCTCCCTTATTGTTGCAGATCCCTCCTTCCTTCCTTCCTTCCTTCCTTCCTTCCTTCCTTCTTCTTTCTTTCCTATCTCTCTTTCCATCCCCCACCTCTCTCTCTCAGACTCTTGAGTAGCTGGATTACATGTGTAGGGCAATAAGAATTCTGGCATTCTTTTATTTAGCTTCTAAAAACATCAGGGGAAAATATTTTGTCCAATATTTTTACTATATTTTAATTTTTATTAGCATGAATTGTACAAAGGAGTTTCATTCTGATACAATTTATACATAATATATTTTGATTAAATTCATTTATGTTATGGTGTTCCTTTTTAACAGTTTTTTCCCTGGGTCTCATTATGCTGTTTCCAAATACATATTTAATGCAATACTCCCTGTTCACCATCTTTTTCCCAAGTATTTTTTTATTTTTATGTTTTTTATTGTAAAAATAGTGTACAGAGGGGCTACAGTTACATGAGCAAGAAAATGAGTACATTTCCTATCAAGCATTGTTAAATTGTTAACATATCTTAGCTATAGTAAATAATACTGTGATAAACATAGTTGTGCTGGTAGCTTTAGTATACACTTTTCTAATTTGGGAAGGGGAATGGAAAAAACAAAATGCTTAAAAAGGGATACAGATTGACCCATGAGATGTACAAGACATTATGTTGAAAATGAACTTTACAACTTGTGGGGGGGGAGGGAGGGAGGAGCTGGGGAGGGAAAGGATGGTAGGAGAAAAACAAAGGAGGAGGTAACAATGCTCAGTAGGAAATGTACTTATTACCTTATTCATAAAACTGTAACCCCTCTTTTCAATATTTTTACAATATAAACATATAAAAATTGTTAGCATACATTAATTGTACAAATGCATTTCATTGTGATTTTCTATACATGCATATAATGTACTTTGAATAAATTCACCCCTCTGTCACTCTTTCATAAACCTCCTCCCTGTTCTACCCTAAAAGACAGTTTTTAGTGGCTTCTTTTATGCTAGTTGATGTACACACACACACACACACACACACACACACAGATATGCAAACCTAACTTCAAATTATAGCACAGTCTCACAGTAACACAATTAACATAGGACAGAAATAGATTCATTGATAAACAGAATAGAGGGCTAAGAAATAAGCTCATGCAACTATGGCCATCTTCATTTGGACAAAGGAGCCAGAAACATATACCAAAGAAAACATAGCCCATTCAACAAATAGTGCTGGCAATTGAATACTGAAACTAGATGCTCTATGTCTGACCCTGTTCAAAGATGAACTAAAAAATGCATCAGCATTTTCAATATAATGTCCGAAACTTTGCACTTACTAAGGGAAAAACAAAAATTGCACTGGAAGATATAGATGTAGAGAAAACTTTATGATTAAAGACTCCAGTTGCTCAAGAAATAAGAACAAAAATTGACAAATGGGATTGCAATCAACTAAAAAGCTTCACATCATAGGAAACAATAACCAGAAGAAAGAGACAATCCATAGAATGGAAGAAACTCTGTTGTAAGCTATTTATTTGGAAATATTCAGAATATATAGTTTAAATAAAAACAGCAAATAAATCAATTGATGAATATGCAAAAATGTTGAAGTGATACCTCTTTAAAGAAGCAAAAAAAATGGCCAAATAAAGACACAAGGAAATTGGGGCCAGGAGGGAAAAGTTGGGAGAGAGTGAAGGAAGGGGGGAAACTGTTCAAAAAGAAATGTACTCATTACCTAAATTATGTAACTGTAACCCCTCTACATCACCTTTACAGTACTAAAAATTATAAAAAGACATGAGGAAATGGAACTACCATATGATCCTGATGTAGTGAACATATGCCAGAAGAAACATAAGAGAGCATACAGTAGAGATACCTGCACATCCACATTTACAGCAGCACCAGTCACATAGCCCAACTATGAAAGCAGACTAGACAGATAATATATGGTATTCATACACTATTTGATATTATTAATTAATAAAAACTGAAATTATGTTGTTTACAGGAAAAATGAATGGAACTAATAATCATTGTGTGGTTTCTCTCATTTGTGGTGGCTAGGATGATCCGTAAGTCTAAAAGTCAATACAGTAGGTACCAATCAAGTGGTTACAAATGAATGAACTGAAGTGTAATAGACTCTATGGAGAGAACAAATATCGTAATTCTTAAAAAGTCTAAGTCAGTGTCCAACAAAATAAGTACCAGGAAATGGCTACTTGCAAGAGAGGGGCATGGGGCCAAGAGGAGAGGGGAAGAAGAATGAAGAGGGGGAATAATGCAGACAAAATTAAATGCATATACCACAGAGCTGAGATATGTAAGAGAAAGGGTGTGTTGAAGGAGTGTGAAGATGCTGAAGTGATGACACCGATCAAGATGCATTGTACACATAAACTGCTTTGTTAAATTGTAAACATTTCAATACATAACCTATGGTTAAGATAAGCAAAGGAAGGGGTGCGCTGGGGGAGAGATGGGTAGAATATTGAAAGGGATGATGTTGACAGATGCACCGTATTCATAAACTGCTTTTGTAATTGGCACCTCCTTTGAACATGTATTTAAAGATGATAACAATATTAAAACAAAGAAAAATGAAACTCAGAAAGGCAAATATTGTAATATTTTGCTGATATGTAATATCTGGAACAAAGTAAAGATAATAATCACAGCAGTATAGCCTTATTGCTTCAGTGTTTTTCAACAATGGCTATTGGATAGTACCTGGTAAAGGGACTGCTTTGGGCAGCATTAGAAGGAATGAATTCTCCTGCATCCCATAGATATGTGGACCATGCTTCTCCTCCTGTTAGAAACCAGCTGACTTGGGGTCCTTTGCCTACCCAGATGGAAACTGTGTTATTCTGGGTCCTTGCAGTATATGCAGGCATCCAGAGGATGACAGTGGGCAGTGGCAGTCAGTCCTGGGCCTTTGACAACTGGGCTAGTGACACAAGGCTCACAGAAATACTCTTTCTCCAGTTTGATTCTGACACTTTCCGTCAATTTTACTGGCTTTATTGAGTACCAGTATTCTTTAATACCAGCCAGTGCTTGCCATTGATATTCTGATCAGTTCTGCTTATGCCCACTTGCAGAGCAGTGTTTTCCTTTCCAACTCTTCTTTCTTTTTGTTCCCATTGTACCACATCAGAAGGTGAGTTGATAGAATGTCTTAATTGGGACATGATATTATAACATCAGCAGTTTAGCGAGGAGGGTATTTCCAACTTGCTTACAAAGGAATTGAGTAGCCTGCTTGTATGGCCAGAAGGGAGAAGGGACAAGCACATTTCATCAATCACAATGGTCCCCTCACAATTGCACCAATCATGGTACAATCTACTAGACAAACAAAGGACTGTGTTTTCAGCAATCACAGGTCTTCTACTGGGCTTGAAGTCCAGTACATGCTGCTTGCTGTGGTAGAGCCTTCTGAAGACTAGGTTGTTTTGGTATAAGGAAAAATCTGGCTGCCTGGTTGTTAGTTCTTAGTTCAAGGAGGCTATAGTCCTGCAGAATGGTCAATTAGAACATTAAAGAAAAAACCTTCAAAAAAGAACTTAAAACAAAAACTTGCCAGTAATATTTATTATTTATTAAGACTTTAATAGTGTTAAATTTCTGTCCTCAAGCCTGTATAACAGGTGGGGCTTACCATAAATCAGTTGTGTCTATGGAGAGCAATATGTTAGAGAAGCGTTCAGGTAAAAGCACACAGCCCTATTGGAGCGCTCAGAAGACAGAGTATCCTAGAAGAAATATTTCTCTAGATAACCTAGATACTAATGGACACTCATTTGGAGTAGTAGAGCTGCCAGCACGAACTGAAGTGTGCACAGGGTTGTTACGTTACTTGTGGTAGTTTCAGGACACAGGCAGGTCATCTGGCTTCACAAATATTCCTCCCACGCTGGGGTTGTAGGATCCTCTTCCATGCTGCCTTCACATCCTTGTTTCTCAGGGTATAGATGAGTGGGTTGAGTAGTGGAGTGATGACACAGTAGAATAAAGACAGGAACTTGGCATTGGTGCTGCTGGAAGGGGGCTGGATGTACATGCAGGTGCCTGGCCCAAAGTACATGGTGACAACCACCAAGTGGGAGCTGCAGGTGCTGAACGCCTTGTGCCTTCCCTCCACGGAAGGTAACTTCAGCACAGCCCTAGCAATGAGGGTGTAAGAGATGAGCACCAGTATGGGTGCCATCACTCCAAAAGGGATGGTACCGAAGATGAAGGAGAGGTCGTTAGCAGTAGTATCACTGCAGGCCAGCTTAATCAGAGCAGGCAGCTCACAGAAGAAGTGGTCCAGGGTGTGATGCCCACAGAGGGGAAGCTGAAGGGTGAGTGTGGACTGTATCAGGGAATTGGTCAGGCCACTGGCCCAGGATACAGCTACCAGCCACACACATGCCCAGTGATGCATGATGAGACTGTATCTGAGAGGATGGCAGATTGCCACATAGCGATCATAAGCCATTACTGCTAACAGGACACATTCAGTATAACCTGTCCAGGTGAAAAGGTAGAGTTGTGTGATGCATCCCCAGGAGGAAATTGTCTTCTCTGGGCCCCAAAGGTTGGCCAGAAGCTGTGGCACAATTGTGCAGGTGATGCATAGGTCCAGCAGAGAGAGATTGCCCAGGAAGAAGTACATGGGTGTGTGGAGTCTGGGTTCTACCATGGAGAGAAGAATGATGGAGCTGTTGCCAACGATGGTGAGAATGTGGAAGATCAGGACCACTGCAAAGAGGGGGATCTGCAGCCCCGGATTCTCTGAGAAGCCCAACAGGACAAATGTGTTGGGGAAACTCACATTTTCTCCTCCCATGGCCTTCTGATTTACATATATATATTTCTAAGGAAAGAGATAAAGCTTGAGGATAAACATGGCTTTTCTATTTCCATAACTCTGGCACTGTTCTCAAGCCTCCCATTGTATTGATAGGATAATTCCTCTAATAGTAAGAAGCCTTAAGTATTGGGTGATTCTCTGTCATACCACCCTATGCTCTGCTCTGAAGTAGGGATAAAGCCAGAGCTGGAATATCCTAAACATAACAGTACAATCAGTTCAATAATTAAAAAATACTTCCTTTTTCTCTTTCTTCTATGTTTTTATTAATTCCCCTTCTGCTATCATTTTCATCTTTCAGTCTATTCACTCAGCAAACTCCTTTCCTGTCACACGGAAGAGGTCATGTTATCTTTTCTTCTAGCATGTCTCTTCTTGGAAAGTTGTTAAAGGAATTTCTACCCAGGGTTTCTTTTCAATCCACTTGGAATAGGGTGCTACAGGCTCACACAACAGATTTGAGTTTGAGAATATTCAAATAGCTACCTCATTATGCAATTTTTTTCTTCTTGAAAGAGAACATCAAATGAGACTGATTTCAGAACCTTGGACTTCCAGTCAGTTATTGTCATAGTATAATACACAGAATATAAGATCAAGCACAACATATTTATGTGTAGTATTTTTAAGTGTACATATTAATGGTATTGTGTGTCTGTATTGTTCTCCATCACTAACATTCAAGCCTAGAATCTGTTCATCTATCAGTCTAAGTAGCCCTAGTAAACAATATCTCCCTGTTCATCTGTACATCCCTAGCCCTAGATACTGTCACCTATCATTTCACTTTTTAATCATCATTTTGCTATTCATGATTCCAACTAGTCTCCACACTTCAGAGAAATTGAATCGGACGATAATTGCTATTTTTTCTATTGCTTTTCTTTCAGTTAAATAATATGCAGATTCATCTATGTTGTAGCATTTGTCAGGATGTTCAACTTTTAGAAGGGATGTGTAGCATTGTATTCTAGGTGCATATTGTATCTTGCTTATATATTACTGTCAGCTTCCATATTTTTATTGTAATTCTATAAACATGATTTTAAAAAGACTTGTTTGAATTTCTGCCTTCAATTCTTTTGATGGCATACACAGAAATAGAATTGTATTTATCTGCCAATTTGCCTCTCTCTCTCTAATTTGATCACAGTCTACTAGGACTTAGTTCAAAGTATGTTTCAAAGTATAACTTTGTTCACAAAGACCAATATTTACATATGCATAGTTTCTTTTGGATATTTTGTTTCACAATTCTTGTCTCCAAAATGGAAAAGGGAAAAACTGAAGCCATGAAATATTATAGAACTGTATCACCTGGAAGTCCCTTCTGCCAGAGAGAGTAGGCCTTCAACAATGGAGGTGGTGTAATAACAATAGTGGTGCACACAAGCAGAAATAATGATCAGAGAACAAACATATCTTTGATACTTGGAGGATAGGGAGTTCTGAGACCAGGTGCTCAGCTGACTGCTATGGGCTTAGGGTGGAGTGGGGCTGGGCTACTTCTATCTAGGTAAAAGCTGAGCTTGGTTAAAATTAACTACAATTCCAATTTGTCTGATGAAGTCATAATCCAGGTTTCAGAGTTCCAAGAGATGTAGCTTACTGCTTCTGCTGTGTGGTCTAGGTGGGAGGCAGAATTCTAGTGCTTCCTACTCTGCATGTTTTCTGGATCATCCCGGTCTTTCCACCTTTCACGGGCTCTCTTTCCTTATTATTTATAATGAATTCTTGTTTCCTTATTTTATTCCCTTTTCTTTCCCCCCTGTTTTCTCTGTGCTTTTCTGAGTTTTTCTTCTGGTACTGGGGTTTGAACTAAGAACTTCTAACTATTGCTAACCTTTTTTCTTCAAGGCTGGTGTTCTGCTTCCTGAGCTACATCTCCATGTCTGGCTTTTTGCTGGTTAATTAGAGATAAGAGACTCAGATTTGTCTGCCTTGGTTGATAACAAACTGCAGCCCTCAGATGTCTACCTCCCGCAGAAGTAGGATTACCAATGTGAGACACCAATGCCTGCTCATCGTGTGTGTGTGTGTGTGTGTGTGTGTGTGCGCGCGCGTGCGCGCGCTGGTACTTCAGCTTGAATTCAGGGCCTCAGACTCATGCTTAGCTTTTCCCCTCAAGTATGGTGCTCTCTTCTACATGAGCTACCTCTCCATGTTTGACTTTTTGCTGGTTATGTGGAGGTAAGTGTTTCATAGATTTATCTGCTTGGGCTGACTTGGAACTGGCATCCTCAGAAAGAAACCTGAGTAGCTAGAATTACAGGCATCAGCCACCATGCCTGGATTAAAGCTTTTTTTTTAAAAAAATAATGTTGTCTACAGTTTCATTTTGATTTCACATCCCTCCCCTAATAAGAAATTCATCCTGTCCTAACAATATTGCTTACTTAGAACATACGATGCTTAGTTTTGTGTCACTTTATTTTGTGGTCAGGTGGTCCCCATCCTTTCTTGTGCTCCGTGAAGTCTTTAATTATTGAGATTTAGATCCTATTATCTCAGAGAAGCAGTCACAGCCTGGAGCGGTTCAAATGATGAGGACTGCACTGATGGAAGATGGCTCTCTGCTACTACAGCCACACTACCCATCCTGTATTCACCTGTGCCGTGAAGGTTTATCAGATTGGATCATGTTAAAGAAGTAAGACATACCCTTAATTTCATTGCATATCACATTGACGTGTACTTTTAAGTTTAAAAAATTAGAAATGTTACCTTTTTGTTTTTTACAACTAGAATAAAAAAGATTGATTAGTAAGGGGAAAGGATGCCTACGCTAAGAGCACTGGGGAGATTTCTTTTTCTATGGCACAATCATACTTTAGGCCACTAGTCACCATAAACTTTTTTGGGTGTGAGTTTGCCAGTATTGGGGCTTGAACTCAGGGCCTGGACACTACTCTTTAGGTTTTTTTTTTCAGTCAAGGTTAGCATTCTATCCCTTGAGCCATACCTCCACTTCTGGCTTTGTGCTAGTTCATTGGAGTCTCTTGGGTTTATCTGAGCTCTGCTTGAGTTGGCTTTGAATGTCAATCTTCAGATTTTAGCCTTCTGAATAGCCAGGATTACAGGCATGAGCCATTAGACCTGGCTACAATATGAACTCCCCTCCCCTGCTATTTGATGTGTTGATTGTCTTTTCTGTCATATGGACTTTAAAAAAACATATTAAGTAGTTGTACAAAGAGGCTTTTCCATATAAACCTTTGATGTACTTTCTGCTTGTGAATCAGAAACAGCATCATTAGATTTAAAAAGTTAATATTATATAAGGATTCGAAAAGAGAGAATGCAGAATTCCTACATCAAATGCTCACTTATTTTGTGGATAAACACTGGGGAAACCCAGAAGCAAGGCTTAACCAAAGGGCTGAGACATGTTGAAAAGTATGGCCAAGACTATTAAATATAGGTTAATTCTAGCCTAATAGAAAACTTGCATGGTTTTGGAAATGGGGTTATGATAGTCATTGGTTGTTGCACCTCAGGTGTGTGGGTGGGATGAATGGCACATATTTAAGGATGGTGTTTATACTTTGAATGACTCCACATCCATGTAATGCCATCCATAAACACAATGACCCTCATGCTTTAGGGAAAAGAAGGTTAGCAGCTCCATTTCAGTTTTGTTACACTGAACTTTGAGGAATCATAGTCACTTCTCAAGCCTGAGAGAGGATAAAGTGTTAACCAAAGATATTAAAGATTTTATTCTAGAATAACAAATGTATAAAGCAAAATTAAATGAAAATATTCCCAAGGAAAAGAATGAGTGTGGTAAGTGAGGCTTTTGTTCCATAGAGCAAATATTGGCGTTCAAAATCCATAGAACCTCACACAAATTAGTGTTTCTAACTGAACCATTTCTTCATCCCTAAAACAAATGTTTATCATGATCTTTACACTCTTTGAACTTAATCAGCTGGGGCTAACTAAATGGTGAACCTGTGAAGTAAATGTAAATGTTTTGCACATGAACATTTATCCCTTTTTCTTCCACAGTAAATGGGCAGAAGATTGCTTCTCCCTAAAGCAAGCACCGTTTCCTGTTTCCTTCAGTCCCTCAATGCTTTCGTATGGACTTTTTGTTTTTACCTTCCATTTCCTAGAATGGCCAACCCTCAGTTGCTACGTGGGAAGAGGGGAAGATATTCTCTAAAATTCAGTAGGGAACTTACTGGAGAAGAAAGGAGCTTAACACATGTGTTTGAGGCTTACCTGTCTTCCTTCTCACTTACCTCGAGTTTGAAGAAGGAAGAGGCATGGACAGTGAAGAGCTGGTAATAAGGCTGCTGAGATCTAGATCTGAGTGCTCTATTTTTTTCTGTAGAGGTCCTGGAATTGAGTGGACATGGTGGATTACTAGTCTGAATCTAGCTAGAAGAGACAATTTCAGGACTTAAGGGGCCCTTGAGACTTACTGTTTGAATCTTCTGAGACTCAAACTACTATTTCAAGATAATTAATCCAGGGGCTAGAGGAACATTCTAGAGGGATTTTGTCTTCCTTTAATTTTTTTGTATTTAAAATAATCTTTTCCCTGGGGAAGATGCTAGAGGGCGCTTCACACAAAAAAATTTATAAGAGAGTGGGCTGGGAAGGTGGCTCAGTGGTAGAGCTCTTGCTTTGCATGCTCAAGGCCCTGGGTTCGATTCCTCAGCACCACATAAGCAAAAAGAAAAAAGCCGGAAGTGGCACTGTGGCTCAAGTGGTAGAGTGCTAGCCTTGAGCTGAAGAGCTGAGGGACAGCGCCCAGGCCCAGAGTTCAGGCCCCACGACTGGACCCCAAAAAAAATTTATAAGAGAATAAGAACCATTAAAATATTTCTAGAGTTGAGGAATGTGGCTTAGTGGTAGAGTGCTTGCCTAGCATGCATGAAGCCCTGGGTTCCTTTCCTCAGTACCACATACACAGAAAAAGCTTGAAGTGGTACTGTGGCTCAAGTGGTAGATTGCTGGCCTTAAGC